TCCTGTATCTTATGCTCTTCTTTTAATGTAGAATTTGAAATACAAATCAGAAACGATACAACCAGTAAATCTCACTTGTGGCTCATACCCTGCCATCTTGCTTTCATAAAACAAATGGGTTAAATCGTTACCATCATAAATTAAGGTATATTCGTCTTTCTCCCTGAATTTCTTAAGGTCATTTAAGGACTGTATCATTTTACATTCAGTGGGTTCGTCATTTTCGTTTATGTGGTAATCTGGGGAAGCCTTAACCGATACATCTTGATTCTCGCGGATTGCCACCATCTGCCTTAACATCTGTAGGTTGTCGTTTGCTGTGTAGATATGATTATTTTTAACTAAAGCATGTAATGTTGGTATATGGTGGTTGTATTTAGTTGGTGAGTATTTGAAAATCGGCTTTATGAAGGAGTTAAATATCCTTACTTGAATACCGTAGTGTTCAAACACCGGCACCATATCCTGTATTGATGCCCCATTCGTTTTAAACTCATCTTCGGTTTTATTCATCAGTTTTAACATACTTTTTTTTGTTAATCTGTTCTTCTCCCTGCGCTTCTCGCCCAGTAGTGTATCCTTATACCAATCGGTGATGGTGTTAAACCAGCACTCGTTTTCTTTGTAATGCTTTACATTTATCGCTTCCTTAAAGGTTTCAAACTCGGGGTCTAAAGGCGTTTGAATATAGATGTTATACATACTTAAATTAGCGGTATTTGTTAGTTTTTCCTGTTCTGGCTTGAAATCTGTATCGCCATCTACTTTCTCAAGGCTCTTAATTTGAATACATTCCATATATTGCGCTGTATGATATAGGTCATCTTCTAAAACTGGGTCTGTGTTGAGTGTATCCATTAACTTTGTAAATGTGTTTTTAGTTTCCTTATCATATCTAAAAATTCGTTTCCCCACCAAGTCCTCTATGTATCTGGTGGATGTTACATTTGCGCTTTTAGGTTCTTTCCAAAAATAAATTAAAGGTCGGCCTTTGTGGTCTTTGAAAGCGGTTTTAATAGCGTTGTCTTTTTCTAACTTTAATTTATAAAACATTACATCTATAGAGTAGATGCTGGTGCTATTTCGTCTTTTGTTTTCCTTCTTTGCTTCCCGCATTCGTTGCCCGAGTGGTTCTTTGTCGTGGTGTTTGTCGTGGATTTTGTCGTATGCTTTGTTTGCCTTCGTCTTTTGTTTGTCGGTTTTGCGGTTATGAACTGTCTGATTAAATTATCCGCAGTGGTGAATTGCGCTATTTTACGGTCTTCATAAAAGTTAATTAGATTTTGTGTTTTTTCTCTGGTGCCTTGTGTTAAACGATTCTTGTAGTTGTCGTAGGTTGTTTGTAGTGCTCTCGTGTTACGCTTAATATTTTTGCTCATATACAATATAATTACAATATAAATTAAATTTCTTTTTAAATGTTTTTTCTAAAGATTTTCGTAATATATTTAGAAACTTATTTAAAGAAATAGTATAAATATATAGTATAGTAATATGACACATTTCAAAAGTCCCGAGGATATGACAATGGACGAGATTAAGCAACAACTGGCTTTGTATCAGAGGCTGTATTATAACAAGAGGAAAGAAGACGAGCAATTTATGATGAAGAAGCGCGAAGCAAGTTTAAGGCACAACCAAAAAAAGAAACTTAAGGAATACATAGAAGAAAACAATTTAAGCGAGGAAGACTTAACACCAAGTCAGATTAATGAAATCATTACAGATAAGAAACCTAGCGGGAAGAAGCGCGGAGCACCAAAATACGATATGAACGAATACAAAGTGATTATGCCAAATGCTGTATAAAATGATGATTTAATTAATTATATTAAATCATTATTTGTTTGTTACTTATTTATATGAGCGAGAAGCAGAAAATCATTAATGACGTATATTTTGATAGAGCCGGTTATGGCTCAAAACAAAGGACATTAAGCGAAGCACGGGAGAAGGACAAAACCATAACAATGGCAGATATAAACGAGTTTTTTAGAAAGAATGTTGAACAAAAAAGAAAGCCGGTAGGTCAAAACAGTTTTATCGCCCCCCATTCCGCTTATGAATATCAGATGGATTTGTTTTTTATAAACGATTTGGACGAACAAAAGTTTAGGGTAGGTATGCTAATGATTGATGTATTTGATAAGTTTATGTGTGTGGTGCCGATAAAAGGAAAAAAAGAAGAGGATTTATCAAGTGGAATGATTGAGTGTTTAAACAAGATGGGAAAGAAACCCGAGATAATTTACACAGACGACGAGGGAGCAATGAACAAGGAAGCAATACAAAAGTATTTGAAGGATGAAAACATAGAACATCATAGAACGAGGGCGCACCCAAATTTTAGCGAAAGAGCCATCAGAACTTTTAAAGATATGTTGTATAGGAGAGTTGAAGCGGATGAGAAAAAAGGAGGAAAACAGAACATCCAATGGCCAGACTACATATTAGAAATATTATTAACCTATAACAATCAAATGAAGCACTCGGCTACGGGATTTACACCAAAAGAAGCCCGAAAACCCAGTAATCAATTCAAAGTGAAACTAAATTTAACGATGAAGGGCAAGAAGAACCGCATTTATCCCGAACTAAATGTAGGGGACGAAGTTAAGATATTTAGGAAGCGAAAACCAAATGAAAAAGAAAGAGTGAGTAATTATAGTCAAAATATTTATACAATAGAAAATATTGAAAATAAGTTAGGTCAAAATTATTACAGAGTTGAAGGTAATAGTAGGCAGTTTTTGAGATTTGAACTACTGAAGCTTTGAGTGCAGGCACTCTGTATTTTATTCACGATCAGCGGTTGGGCACATGACTCTTCCAGTAAAAATTGTCTCCAAAGCAGACAAGCTGGCTATCTGTCCCCTCTGCACAGCACAAGTATGACAATGACCAACTAAACTGGTCCCAAATCTGCTGGGACGTCACACTGACCATCACGATTGTCTCCAAAGCAAACGAGCTGACCATCTGACCGCACTGCGCAAGTATGAGAACTGCCTGCTGAGACTGCCAAAACTGGTCCCAGATCTGCTGGGACGTCACACTGACCATCACGATTGTCTCCAAAGCAAAAAAGCTGAGCATCTGTCCGCACGGCGCAAGTATGAGAACTGCCTGCTGAGACTGCCAAAACTGGTCCCAAATCTGCTGGGACGTCACACTGCCCAGCACTATTGTCTCCAAAGCAGAAAAGCTGACCATCTGTCCGCACGGCGCAAGTATGAGAATTGCCTGCTGAGACTGCCAAAACTGGTCCCAAATCTGCTGGGACGTCAGACTGACCATAATAGTTGTCTCCAAAGCAAACGAGCTGACCATCTGACCGCACTGCGCAAGCATGATGAGAATTGCCGTTTGAGACTGCCAAAACTGGTCCCAAATCTGCTGGGACGTCACACTGACCATACCTATTGAATCCAAAGCAGACGAGCTGACCATCTGTCCGCACGGCGCAAGTATGAGAATTGCCTGCTGCGACCAAAACTGGTCCCAAATCTGCTGGGACGTCACACTGACCATCACCATGGTATCCAAAGCAGACGAGCTGACCATCTGTCCGCATGGCACAAGTATGACAATTGCCTGCTGAGACTGCCAAAACTGGTCCCAAATCTGCTGGGACGTCAGACTGACCATCACCATTGTCTCCAAAGCAAACGAGCTGACCATCTGACCGCACTGCGCAAGTATGAAAACTGCCTGCTGAGACTGCCAAAACTGGTCCCAAATCTGCTGGGGCGTCACACTGCCCATCACTGTTGTATCCAAAGCAGACGAGCCGACCATCTGCCTGCATTGCGCAAGCCTGAAGAGCTGAGAGTGCCGAAACTGGTCCGAAATCTGCTCGCAAACCGCGCTGCGCATGTCCGCCGAATACACTCTTCCTCACCACCGAACTGCTGGAAACTCGAACATCTCCGGAACGTGGTGAAAATGCGCAAGTCCGAGTCCGTCTGTTCATTTTGCTTGGCCCCACGAAACGTGACTGACCCTGTGTGCAAACGCACCAGGAGCCAGGACGGACCGCATTAAAAGACTGGAACGGCGCCCTTTGTGCCCAAAAGAACCAGGCAAATGCCAGGCCAGCTTTCATGGCCATGGAGAGATGGATGAGAAGAAATGCTCCAGTGAGGGTGCATTGAAGCTGAAAACGGAATTACACGAGTAGCCCATGCTATGCTACAAGTATCGTTCTAGGCGATTCGACCTTAACTTCAAACCTTATTCCTATTATGGATATTTTGTTTGAGATGACCGTTTCCATTTTCTAGTTAGGGACATTCGGGTTGGGAATATGGGTTTTTCTATGGGGGTGCAGGTCTATGGAGTTGAGGTTGGTGTTTTTCTATGTGGTGGTGTATGGTTTCTTCTGGTGGTTCCATCCTAGGGGTCTTCCTATGGGTCTTTTGGTGAGTTTAGGGTTGAGGTATAGGTTGTTATGGTTTGGGTCTTCAGGTGAGTTATTCCTAGGGTTCTACCTATGGGTCTTGGATGGGTTGAAGGTTGAGGCGTAGGTTGTTATGGTTTTGGGTCTTCGGGTGGCCTAGGGGGGTGGGCATGGTTAGAAAATGGAAATGGTAGTTGCTAACTTATTGTAGTATAATTAGATAGGGGCCATAAGGGAAGACTGGTAAGCATTTAAGGTATTTATTCCTGCGCCCGAAGAGTGTTAGGCATTTGGCCGGCTCTCGGCTTGGAACTTGCTACACTGGGTCATCAAAGGTCCTCACGTCGCAGGGATCGCATCGTCTTTAGTTGCAGATGATGAAAGCTATGACAAAACTACTATTACATTGGGTTATTACGTGAAAGGGCGGCAGGGGGAGAGATGTCGATGAACTCGGCATCGGCATCAACGCAGGAGACTCTGTGTGCGAATCAGAAGCTCCATTTCCCGAATTTTGCTTTATTCTGCTACTACCTGCATACTTGGACACTATAAGATATAGTCCAGTTCTGCAAACTACTTGGCATCAGCATGCCCCTGCCTCCGAGATGATCATGGCGACATGGATCATCAAGAAGCCGAACACGATAAATGTGGGTCTCTCCTGCCACAAACGCCGAGTCTTGGTCCAGCTCTAGAAGCCTTTTGGACGTCGACCTCAGGTTGGACGGTGGCTTCTAAATTTGAAGCTCCCTCTATCACAATACACACAAGCGTGCATGTCAACCCTGCGTAGTCCGTATAGACAGCTCTCTTCAACCATGGGGCTTCGGAATTGAGAGTTTCAGGGTTTAAGATGTCTAAGCCCTGTCACTCCTTAAGCCGTCACCCTGGTTTAGGGTTTAGGGTTTAGGATTAACCTGGATTGCTGTCTTACTTGCTGGGAAGAAGGCGGAGCGTGGGTTTTGAAGGTGGCCAACGGTGACCTACAACCCACCAAAAGTGTGAAAGGACATAAGACCCTCAACCCCAAAGCCCTAAAGCCCTTTGCTGCCTCTGAACCCTAAACCCCAATCCCCCAAACCCGAACCCCCCCAACCTGCAAACCCGAAACCCTAAATCTGAAACCCTATTCTGCTCTAACCTCTACCGGGTCCTCCCAGGCCCAGTGAAAGAAGCACCCCTCGGAGCTGAAGAACTCCACCTCCCGCTGGCTTGGGCATGTGTAGGGGTGTAGGGCTTATAGTGTTTTGGGTTTAGAGTTTAGGGTTTAGGGTTTGAAGTTTGGGGCTTTTTTGGGGGGTTTAGGAAATTTAGGGGTTTAGGGGATGGAGCACGTGGAGGTCAGAGCATAGGGATCCAGAGCATACTCCTTGGGTGCCAAAAAAGCGAATCTCGTCCAAAGAGTCCAGCATGTCCGAATTAGGGAAGATGCTCTTTTGAGATCTCCAGTGCAAGTTGCGGAACCTTTCCTAAAGAAGGGACAAATGGGGGGGGAGGGGGGGAGGGTTTTGGGCGTTAAAGCCTTTTCGAGGGTCCCTGTATTCTTCGCCTTCAAACCGACAGTTGAATTCAACCCCCCCCCCCTTCCCCCCAAAGCCCTATAAAACCTGAGACCCGAAGTAAGCTCCTGAATCCCGAGCGCGACATGCAGCAGCCTATAAACCCTATACCCCACATGCAGCACCCAAAGCCCTAAACCCAAAACCCTAAATGCTAAACCCTAAACCCGAAACCCTAAACCCTAAACCCTAAACCCTAAACCCTAAACCCTAAATCCTAATTAGATCAGTCTTTAATGTGGAATCGCGCGCCTCGGAGCGGGAGAACACCAGGGCCTGCAAAGCCAGCGACTGCTGTCCCAGACCTTGCTTAGGTGGGCTTAGTTTAGGGTTTAGGGTTTAGGGTTTAGGGTTTAGGGTTTAGGGTTTAGGGTTTAGGGTTTAGGGTTTAGGGTTTAGGGTTTAGGGTTTAGGGTTATACGTACCCACTCACGAAGCTTCAAGTAAGGTCGGGGACCTGGAGTTTCAGGCTGAAGGTTTAGGGCTTTGGGGTTTAGCAATAGAAAGGGTTTGGGAAGTTTGGGTTTAGGCTTTAGGGTTTAGCGTTTCTGGTTTGCAGGGCATCAGGTTCGGATTCAGGTCGCTCGGCCTTCTTGCAAGGCAGATTTGTTACAACTAGGGCTTGCATGCAAGTTTGTTGAGTTGGTCTAAATTTCACTTGATTCTGGGGGGGACATGGTGTGACCATGTACATCCCTGAACCCGAAACCCTGAACCCCAAACCCTAAACCCTAAATCAGCCTGCATCCCTAAACCCGAAACCCTGAATCCCCCTTTCAGGGCCGCCCGACTGAGCACGAACCGCGCCATGTCGCCGGAGACCCGGCGCGACGTGTCCCCGCCGCAGGGTCGAAACCGAAGACGCCCCTTGTAGGGCGTGGGTAGGTCCTCTGACTGATGCTTGGGGTGTGGGGGCTGAGGGGCTCCGCTGGGTTCACGGCTCAGGGCGAAGGACCCCTTTTGATCCCTAGTCCTACAAAGCCTATATAGAACATTACAGGGCGACTGGTAGGGCCTCAGAGGCTCCTGGGGTTGGGACTGAAGTTGCTGATGAGCTGAGATGCCACTACGGCTGCGGGCGAGAGATGTAGGAGTTTGGGGCTTCAGGGCATTCTGAGGGGGCGTAGGGCTTCGGGTCGGAGGGTTGCACATCGGCCTGGATGCTTCGCCCGGTGCTTTTGTGGATGTCAAGACAGGACGCCCCAAGCGCGACGAAAGTTGAGGGGACTTAGGAGGCTGCGAGGTGCTTAAAGGTACTTTATGAGGCATAACGGGTAGGTAATATAGGGTATTCGGATGACGGGTCTCTTCTACGGGTACCTCCATTTATCCCTTAAAGAGCCTGAACCCTTAAGCCAAGGTGGCTTGCTTCATCCCAGGGTCATGTGGAGAGGTCTCGGATCCAGGTTTCAGGTTGAAGCGTTTAGGTGCAGGGTTTAAGTTTACGGTTGTTGGGTTTCGGGTTTAGGGCTCAGGGATTAAGGTTGAGGGCGACATGCTGTTCTGGAAAGCGTGCCAAGAGACAACCCCCCCCCCCCCCCCCACGCCAACTCCTTAGCCTAACCCTGATACCGGGGCCGAATATCTAGTCTGAATGGGGTTTGTGGGAATCCTGAGTAAAGGGGAATAAAAAAAAGGATACTGCTGGTATCCGGGTAGTCCTCTGCTGCCGACTTGACAAAGTTCTTCCAGAGCAGTTCGGTGACCAGCACCACGTCGCAGTTGTGGTAGAGAATCAGGCCTACGCTTCACTTGCGCTGCAAACGATTTGGGACTTTGGGGCGACTTGTAAGGCCTTCGTCTTGGGATTTCTGAACTCGGGGTCAGGGCTTGCAGGATGCAAGGTTGGGCAGAGAAGACTCTTCGTCGGCCTTCCTAAACCTCAAACCCCGAAACAGCAAGAACACCTCAACACTCTAAACTCCAAAGGAAAATAATTAGGCCTGAAAACCTGAAAACCTAAAGCTTAAACCCGAAAGCCTCAAACTCTCAAACCCCGGAACACTACAGACCCTAAAAAACGCGAAGCCCCTAACAAAACATCCAACCCCAAACCCCCAAGCCCGCAGCCCCAAAAATGTAATGAAACTCACAAAGCCCGCAACCCCAAAGAGGGTTTAGGGTCCCAAAGGTTCCCGGGACCAGAAAAGAATATACCTCAAAACTACAACCCTGACCCACGGGCCGTCTTCATGGGTTCTACCCTATAACCTAAGCCCTACTAGCCCCTGAAGCCTGATTCTTGAACCAAGATGCTTCCTCTTGTTGATGCGCGGTACCCGCGGGCCTTTTAGTGTTGCTCTTGTGACTCCCTGCTGCCCTACCCGTCCTCGCGCAAGCGCCACAAACGGTTGCACGTCGCCCCGGGTCCCTCTTGTCATCAGCAAGACCTGTTTCCGTCGCGTGCGCTTTCTGCTTTTGGATTTACCGGGGGGGCTCAGGCGCGTAAACCCTGAAGCGCATACGTCAATACCGGGAATTTCCCTGAAGAGCCGCGAAAGGTTCAGAGCTTAGACTCAGAGCATATGGGACAGGGGCTTCATCTGCTTCACCTTCAACCAGCTACTCCAACATGCGAGGCCTCAGTGTTCAGGTAGGTGTAAATACAGGGTTTAGGCTTTCAGCTTCAGGGTAGACGGCATCTTTGCAAAAGCTGAGCGTGCTCTTGCAGGAGCTTTGCACCGCAGAGCAGCATTGTCGCTGACGACACTATTTGTTGAACGTGTAGATACCCAGAACATTTCACCTTACGAGCACGTCGTGGCATGAAGTCCAGTCCGTCAGGCACAGTACAGTGCGTGCGCGAGGAAGCGACAGCCAACTCAAGACCAAGCTAGATCATGAACCCACCCTGAAACCCTGAAGCAGAAACGCTGGACCTGTTCTTAAACCAACAAACTGTGCAGCTTGCGAGACTAGCTCCCCAAATTACCTCGCCTTTGGCCGACCGGAGCTGGTCAGCACCGAGGCGATCGACGAGCGTGTATCTTCCTGGCCGAAGCCCTTTCTGTCAGAGAGCTTGGGCCAGGTTTTTGGCTAGAAATACATAAGGTTACAAGAAGCAAAAGGCATAGCTATCCTGCTTCTGACCAACCAGATCTGAATACCATGCGCCTCCAAGCACAGAAGGCTCACCCCAAACCTGAAACTGAAACCCTCCTTGGGACCCCTAAACCCAAAACCCTAAACCCTAAACCCTAAAAGAAACTCTCAGCTGCAAGGGCGATCCTGCCGCGCTGGTCGGTCCGGCGCAACGAGGCTCTCCTGCGGCCGGGGGAAGCTTAGGGTTTAGGGTTTCGGGTTTAGGGCTTAGGGTTTAGGGTTTAGGCTTTAGGGTTTCGGGTTTAGGGGGGTAGTATTTAGGCTCGAGGCTTCAAAAACTGGATGAAGGTGTTGCTGGAAGGAGGCAACAGAAGGTTTTGTGAATCGATGTGGTGTCGGTGAAAACTGCCCCCGCCCTCCCCCGCTCCAACAGTCCAACAGAACATGTTGTAACAAAATGCTTATGCAAAGGCTCAGGCTGTCAAAGGCAATGTCAGTGGGTAGATTGCTAGTACTCCTCGCGGTAGTTCATGGCTACTGGTCAGTCTGCACTCGCACAGCTCCAAAGATCCTCCCAACCTCCACCGAAAGACGGCAAAAAGGCCAAGCTCCAGAATCCTGCATCATCCAGCCTCAGTGTCGAAGAAAGACTCCGCCGATTGGAAGAAGGACAGAGCTTGCACAGCCAGGTCATTGTGCAGCAAGGGCATCGCTTGAATCGAGTAGAGGCCGCAGTGGAAGTAATCATATGGATTCAAGACAACAAGCTCAAGAAGCTGGCCGCAGACGCACACGGCATGTGGAAGCAAGCCAAGCCTCAGCAGGGGCCTCATCCTATGGGTGGGTATGGCCACGTGGTACATGCGCTCATTCTTCAGGCAAACGTGGAGGCTATGAACAGCGCAAATCCAGATCAAGGCGAAAAGATGAGAGGACATCCGCAGTTCAAAGCATTAAAACAATTCCTCAATATTTCAGACGAGTCTCAGACCGTGGAAGCAGTGACACAGTACCTCAACAGCATTCACGAAAGGCCCATGACGGAGTGCGTGCAAAGTTGCAGGCCAGTGTCAAAGCGAAAGATGACAGAGGACAAACCGTGGGGATGGAGCGTGATCTACGAGTCTGGTTTGGAGGGCAGCAAGCTGCGCGACTTCATGCTCACTTACGCCCAGCCACTACACACAGTGTTTCAACTGGTGAGTGTGAGGAAAGGTGTTCCACGCGAAGACCGCAATCTCAAGAAGGTTGCGGGGATGGTGGCACATTGGGGCAGCGTCGCTGCGCCAACAGAGGACGCAGAGGCACAAGAGGAGGAAGAGCTCGAAGACGACCTGTCCAAGCAGACGCCGATGAAGGATGGCAAGCGGGGCAGAAAGTAAGAGCGCTGAGGTACAAAAGAGCCAGCCTTCGAAAGAAAACTGAGAAGTTCACTCCCAGTAGCCAGCAATTTCATGACACTTTCGTTGCCGAGATAGCTTGTGCGGTCGCAAGTCCGCGCTGCCATGTGGCAGAGCCGAGCGTTTCCGCGCTGCCTGACGCGCGGATGGAGCCTTCTTCGGGAGGCGAAAACGGCAGTCAGGTGATACCGCCAAGAACTCGTACAGCGCTGCGTGGAGTGCGAAAGCAAAGCATTCGCAGAGCAGCTTATGCCGCAGCAGGTGGACAAGCAGTCCATATCAGAGGTCGCCAAGTTTCAGAAAGCAACTGGCGTGAGATTTTTCCTGGCATTTCCTTACCGCCTCAAGATAGGACGCCTTCCTCTCATCTAGAAGACCGTGCTGTGAAGAAACGACCTGGGCAGGCACGTAGACACATCGAAACACTTGTTTCCTTCAACGTGCTGTCAGCAAAAGAAGACAGCTGCAGCAACAAGAGTGCAGGCAGGTGGTTCCTCCTGGAAAGCGTTTTCTTTGAGAACAAGGTTGACGTCGCGATGCTGCAGGGGACCATGGAAACAGGTACAAGCAAGACGGTTGGCGAGCACTACGTCATTTACAAGCACGGAGCCTCAAAATGGAGGCCAGGATATGCAGCAGGGGTGGCCGTGATGGTTCGCAAAAACAAGCATGGAGGCGACGTTACTGTGCATAACATTTCCGAAAGGCTCATGTTTTTGGAGATCAAAGCTTCGAATAGACATGATGTCTACGGGTCAGGATATGCTCCAGGAGAGTGGGACTCAGAGGAGGTCAGGACCAAGTTTTACGATCTCCTGCAGAGCACCATGGAAGCGCTGCCCACGAGAGCAACAAAACACTTGGGCATCGACAACAATGGCACAGTCTGCAAATGCGAGCCATGTTCTGGTAAGTGGGCCCAGGCTCCAGAAGGCCAGCCCTCTGCAAACGGACAGGCTCTACTGGACATTTGCGAAGCAATGACATTGCGGCTAGCCAATACTCATTTCCGGGACCCACACCTCAGCACTTGCTACACATATGGAAATGGCCAGGAACAATCACGTCAGATTGACTTCCTTGCGATTGACTGCAGGGACACCCAAGCGGTATGCCGCGCCCGGACACAGCCAAAATGGCCAGTGCATCTTCGCTCGGATGGAAGGCCAGATCACGTGCCAGTTCTTGCTGAAGTGAGCTGCCAAAAGCCAAAAACAGCTCCTCAGCGGCAAGGCATGAGATGGAACTGGGAGGCTCTCAGGGACCCAGAGGTCCTCCAGCTTTTCAGACAGGATCTGGAGAGATTGTGCCAGGAGCAAGAAGAACAACAGCGAGAGGTCACTGAACATTGGGAATGGTTGAAACACCAGCTCCAAGTTTTGCAACAAAAGCATTTCTTCAAGCCTGATGACGGCATCCGCCAGCCGTACATCACCTCGCAGACGAAGGATCTCATTCATGAAAAAGCCCAATGTCTGAGATCGCTGCGCGAAGCGAGAGAAGCTTTTGATGCTGATACCGCAGATGAAGCAGCTCACCAGTCCTTTCTAGCACGTCAAGCTGCGCTGAAAGAAGTGAATCGCAAAGTTCGTCAAGCAGTGAAGCTTGACAAGACATGCTGGATCGAAGAACTGGGAAAGGAAGCTCAATGTGCGGCGCAGAGCAATGATTTTCGAAGGCTCTATGCAATTGAGCGGCGTTTGAGTGGCAGGAAAGTGCGTTCTCCAAAGGTTTATGTGCAGCTTGACTCCGGAAGAGCTGCCTTGACTCCTGAAGCAGAACAGCAGGCATGGCTCCAGCACGGTTTGCGGGTGTTCGGAGGCAGAGAAGTTTCTAGCTGTGAGCGACAATCGGGGCGCTGCAGTCTCGAGGGTCATCTTGCTAATCCCCCAACTGCCCGGGAAATCCAAAAAAGCATTGGAGCCATGCGTGTCGGCAAAGCAACCAAGCCCGATGGCCCAGGAGCAGCTCTGCTGAAAGCAGGAGATGCTCCAATGCGACGCCTGCTGATGAAGTTTGCCCAGCACATCGTGGATAACCGCGATGAAGAAGAAGCTTGTGTCTGTGTCCCTAGTGAGCTTAGAGACCCTAGGATGGTTTGGATATGGAAGAAGAAGGGCGATATCCATGATCGTGATGTTTATAGGGGGATAGGATTGCGTCATCACCTTTTCCAAGTCATCATAGGCGTCTACGCTTCGAGACTCAAACTTCTTCAACGAAGTGCTATTGATTATTGGCACTATGGGTATAGGGCAGGCAGTAGCCGTACACATGCAATCTTTGTGGTCAGGCATACTCTTTGGCGTCTCACCAGGGCAAAACAGTCTTGGGAATTGGTGCTGTATGACCAAACCAAATATTTTGACATGATCGATCGCTCGGACCTCATTCGGGATCTTCAGGATGCTGGGTTGGGTGTTAGTGACGTTAAGGTTTTTGAGGCTACTCTTAACCAGTCGTGCTACGAGTATGGTTTTAGCAACACCCGATACCAGCAGGTCCTAAAAGGAGTCGTCCAAGGAGGGAGGGAGAGTGCAATGCTTAGTTTGGGTCCCATGAATCGTACTCTCAGAGCCCTGAAACAACGTAGGCTTAGGAGGTTGGCCGGTTCTGGTGTTCCTAGTGTTTGTGTTAGGACGAACAGCCAAGCAAGCCTCACTCACCCCACGGGCAATGCTGCTGCCGCTGACAAGAATTACGACCTCACTGACGCTGTGTACGCTGATGATGTTGCTAGCATTGTCTTATGCCCTACTCAGCATGTGGTGACCGAAATGCAGGATTTTTGCGAGGTCGCTGAGGGAGAAGGTCTGCTGCCAAACGTTGAGAAGTTTGAAAGAGTCAGGCGTTTCAATGGGGCTGGGGCTGAAAGGCTTCGGGATGATTCGGCTTACTCCAACCGTCTCCCTAATCGGCAGGGCACTGTCAAAGTTCAAGATAGTGTCAAGTATTTGGGTGACCACTTGGACAACAGTCACTCAAACCGGCGAGAAATTGATCACCGGCTTCGCTGCGCCCGTGCCGCCTTCAACAGTTTGGCCGCTAGGATTTGGAAGAATCGAGGTCTGAGACATGAGACGCTGAAAATGCTGTACGCTTCGCTCGTCAGGTGTCATTTGGTGGGGGCCCTTGAATGTTATGCCTTGACCAAAAGCGAAACGGCCAAACTCGAAAGGCAGCAAAACGTTTTCCTCTGGAGACTGCACTGCTTTTGTCACGACCTCCCCGCCGGGCCTGAAAAGTACAGAGA